CTATCAGGTCTGTGCAGTGTCGTATGACATCTATGTACCAAGTTTCATTGAAATGTGATGATTAGTACTTGAGATATCAGTGGAAAAACCGAAAATTGACTAATCATTATGCAAATTAGGTAATTAGTATCCACGGATTATTACCAAAAACTAATCAAAACCTAGCATTAGTTCAGAGCATCTATGTACCAAGTTTCATCAAAATCCAATGAGTGGTTGTTTAGATATCAGTGGAACAGTCATGGAACCACTAAAAAATAGCTAATTATCATGCAAATTAGGTAATTAATATGCACGGATTTTTACCAAAAATTAATCAAATCTGCGCATATGTTCAGAGCATCTATGTACCAAGTTTCATCAAAATCCAATGAGTGGTTCTTTAGATATCAGTGGAACAGTCATAGAACAGCTAAAAATTAGCTAATTATCATGCAAATTAGGTAATTAACGAGCATGAATTTTTACCAAAACCTAATCAAATCTGCGCATTGGCCCAGAGCATCTATGTACCAAGTTTCATCAAAAACCGATGTATGGTTCTTGAGATAGCAGTGGAACAGTCGGACACACATACACACACACACACATACATACACATTTTGTGCTTCGCACATGGGAGTCAAAATCACATTTTATTTACAATTCACTTGGTTTCTAATTTATTATAAAAAAATATTACTCAATGCTGTAGCATACAGGCATGGTACCTGATAAAGCAGTCATCTTTACACAGAAATACATTACAAAACTTGCACCCAAATGAAGTCTCCACAGAATAACCCTTAGGAGTTTTCTTACGAATTCTAGAACAATATTTACAAGAACGTTTCTTTCACTTGGAATTTGGTTGCATCATTTCACACAAGTTATGAGTAGGGAGGTTGGCGTAACTCAAGCTGTTTTCAACACCAAGTGACTGTGGTTGTGGCCCACGTTTTTTATGACTACAGTACCCAGCAATGAGCTGACTTGATAAATCAAGACGAAAATCTAGTTGCCTATACCTTCTTCTTGGATTAGGGGAGTGAGCAATTGAATATAAAATAAAAGAATTAACAATCATTCGTTGGATAAAGAAGAAAAAAAGATACTTCCAATATTTCATATACTTTTTACTAATGGAATAGTAAGATGCCAACTGGTCACTCAGATCGACACCACCCATGTACTGATTATATTGCAAAACAGAAAAAGGAGTAAAAAAATGTTTTCCCACCCCTGGTGACATCTCTCCCACCTGGTGAACAATTTGTTGTCAGCATACCAGGTACAACAACCGAAATAGGCACTCATTTCATCTGTCCATTTCATACCAATGCCGGTCTACGCGCCCGGTAACTTCCTGTCTATGTCTAGCGTATTTATTTGTTTCCCCAACCAACAAATCCAAA